AAAAATTATAAGAAAGAACAAAATGAAATTGTTTAAATTATCTATTGTTTATTTAATTGTACATTTTTTATTTCTGAAACATCATTAAAATAATTTATATAATATTAAAAAAAATTTATACTTGTGAAATATGATTTATATCTTGTGTTAAATATTAAACAAAATTATTATCCATGAATACATTTTTTAAGTCTATGATTTTTCATAAATATAAAAATTTTAAATTTCATAAATTTATTTGATTATAATATGTGTTTTTTTTTATAATACTAAATTTTTTTTTTTTAATTACTTTAGAAATTATAAAGTAAACTCTAACTATACTAAGTATAACTGACTATAGTAAATATAATAAGTCTTATTATATTACCTATCAGAATTACTGTTTAAAAAATGGTTATTTTCAATTGTAAATAAATTACTTAAAATCGATCACAAAAATTGTAATTACTATTTTGATTGGTAGTTTAATTAACTATAATATTGAAAAATTTAATTATTTTATAAAATATTATTTTACAGCAATTTTAAATTTATTCCTTTGAGTTTAAGTCGTAAAAATTCTATCGTAATCATCTTTATGGGAATATGTAGTGTACCACTAAAATGAAATTTGACAACTTTTTAAAATAAAAAAAAATGGTAATTATAGTGTAAAATGTTTTCGTTAAAGATATATAAAGTCATAAAAAATAGTCGTATTGAATTGAAATAGGATCGTAATATCATAATCACATTATTATAATTATGTGCTGTGAGTAATTTTTAAGCGATTTTAACGTAGGTGGATGTTAATATTTAAATTTTATTAGCTATTTATGATGCAGATCGTTTTATTGGAATTTTAAAAGTATGGTTTGTCATTAAATAAGTGATTAGCATTTCTCATGGTTCAAAGTTTTTATGTCTCCACATGACAATCATAATTAAATGATAAAAAAAGTACATAAAATCACATGAACGAATGCTGATATTTATTTATTTATTCATTACCACTGCGATAATGTAGTGGATTTATATCCATTGGTTGTACTCGGTAGATGTAATTAAACATTATTATCGACAATTCATTAAAGAAGATTTTATAATACGACTTGGGCCAATAAACGTCAAACGCCTCTAGGAAAAAAATTCCAATTGGTACATCCGTTTATTAATGAGCGTTGTTACCATTATAAAACGTTTCGCCTATTTTACCTGCATTGCAATGTACACACAGTATCTGGTGAGACAGTCGTGATGATGAAGTTACGTGTGAATGGTTGTTGGAACGGCCGAAGAGATAAAAATGATCTGTGGAATGGTTCGACGTGCGAACTGAGGTGAAACGTCGAACTGAAACGATCATTGATACTATTACTATTAACTCCAAGGGTAATGAATCACGAATGAATGGATGTCATTAACGAGGGAGTGGGCGAGAGAAGGTGTAATCTAAAATTAAAATCATGCCTATCGTATTTGTTTTTATTGATTAATACACTGTAATGTAATACTATTGGTAAAAATTTATACTATCCTATAATGTTACACATTCACTTGGGGTAGATGGTATCGCGATTCACACAGCACCTCGATGCTCATTTCACTTTGACTATTTCAGATTTAAATCGATACACCAATGTTAATTGACGTTAAGTGATTTGCATAAGTTTTACTAAATTACTTATGAAGTGTATACGAAAAAAACAAGGCAAGTCAGTTTTTTGTAAATTGAAAAATATGCATTTAAAATTTTAAAATGCTATCTTATTTTACAATACACCATAACTTTTAAGGGTTATTTAATAAATCATTTTTTTCTCACTAGTACTTATTTTTGCTTCTAAACTAACAATATGCA